CACCAGGAGGCCCCACCACGTGTGAGGACACACCAGGAGCCCTCACCACGTGTGAGGACACACCAGGAGGCCTCACCACGTGTAAGGGCACACCAGGAGGCCTCACCAGGTGTGAGGACACACCAGGAGGCCTCACCACGTGTGAGGGGCACACCAGGCCTCACCACGTGTGAGGACACACCAGGAACCCTCACCACGTGTGAGGGGCACATCAGGAACCCTCACCACGTGTGAGGGGCACATCAGGAGGCCCCACCACATGTGAGGACACACCAGGAAGCCCACCACATGTGAGGACACAACAGGAGCCCCACCACATGTGAGGACACACTAGGAGGCCTCACCACGTGAGGACACACCAGGAGCCCTCACCACGTGTGAGGACACACCAGGAGCTCTCACCACGTGTGAGGGGCACACCAGGCCTCACCACGTGTGAGGATACACCAGGAGCCCTCACCACCTGTGAGGACACACCAGGAGCCCTCACCACATGTGAGGACACACCAGGAGCCCACACCACGTGTGAGGACACACCAGGAGCCCCACCATGTGAGGACACACCAGGAGCCCACACCACGTGTGAGGACACACCAGGAGCCCTCACCACGCGAGGGGCACACCAGGAGGCCTCACCACGTGTGAGGGGCACACCAGGAGGCCTCACCACATGTGAGGACACACCAGGAGCCTCACCACGTGTGAGGACACACCAGGAGCCTCACCACATGTGAGGACACACCAGGAGCCTCACCACGTGTGAGGACACACCAGGAGCCCCACCAAGACCCACCGACTCTTGGCCAAGCCGGCGCCAGGCACCGTCACCACGCCAGAAAACATTCAAAATCTACCAACAATCCCATGACCCAAGGCGATATGTGCGTCACACGTCGTAACAATCCTTACCGTCGAATAGGAATGCCAAACGGAAGTATCATACTCCAAAATCGCGAAAGAGAACATGATCCGGCGTCTCCCAGGCGGAGACTGTGTCTCAAGACGTCTGCTCGTCGTCAAGGCTGAACCAGAAGTGCCTCGTGGCCAGCTGTGTTTTGATTACAATGTGGCCGCTTAAGGGCTAGTTCAGCCTTTGAATTACAATTACTGTAATTCTTTTGCTCACTATCTCATTGTCTATGACCATGACTATGAGAAAACCCTTAGCAATATTTTAGAATCGGCGGGGGGAAGTTTACTATTAGGGAAATATTGAAAATAATGAGATATATGAATATTTAAAAAAAAAAAAATTAAATCCATTATCAACATTAAATATTTAAACAGATTAAACCGTGATTAGAATTTTAGCTATTAAACTTCAAACACAATATTAATACTCTTTTTATATATAGAATTTTCTTTTATTTAAAAAAGTTCTACGGTGTTTTAACAATTTCCGCACTTTGTCCAGTTAGCCGGGAGTTAAGAAAAGGTTGAAATCTTTGCTCTAGGCGAAAACTATTTATTAACGCACAAACAATTTGGATTTAGGCCCTGGAAAAATTCTTTACATCAGATCTCCATACTTCTAAGTAATTACTAAAGTTATTAAAACAATAATGAATGTGAGGAGTTAAAAAAGCCTTCTAATGAATTCCTCGCAAATTACTTTTAAAAAATAAAAAACAAAACGTATATTGGTGAGTTAAAAGCACGGTAATGAATTGGATAGGCTTTAAACTTGTAATCTCATACCAAAACGAGAATACTCACTAGTTAAGTCGCAGTTATGATCGTAATTTACTTAAATGTAAATCTCTTCTCAAAGAGAATGAGTAATTACATTACATTCACAGATGATACGGGAAATTACAATAATCAGATTAATTTTAAAACCACTAAGTTAGATTTGGTTTTATGCGGTACCTTCCTTGAAGGACCTAAGAAGCCTCACCCTGCACCAGGCCAGAGCACACCGTCTCGCCATTCCTTCTCTGTGCCAGAGCTTAATTAAGTGAAAGGAAAGTGAAGTCATATCGCGAATCACATACTGAAGTCAAAATCCCCAACGGACAAATAATGGCGTACTAATCATAGCGGTTAGGGAACAGTCACGTTTTGTATGCGAAGGTCGGTAGGTTTGGTTAGGATTCACTCACGCATTTTAGTACATCATTTAAATAGTCCGTGAGAATGAGAGAGAAAAGGCTGGTTGATCACCAGACATTAATTCACAACTCTTAAGGACAAAAATCCATTCTCGTCAAAAATTTTTAGGGTTTAAAGGTTAAGTAGATCAGAAATCAGAGTTTATTAATTCCTTTCCTGTTTATTCCTAGCTTAATAAGACAAAATAACAAACACAAAAGTTATGAGGGTGCTCTCTGGTACACCGTCTGCTTCACGCATTAATTGGTTATATATTAGGAAATTTTATCTAAGATTTTCCAGTGAAATATTTTATCATGATAAATAATTTAGGATCCTAAAGGGAATAAAACTTTCCCCAACTGAAGACTCATCATGAAGATACACCTTTCACGCCAACCTAACTTCTGAAACTAGAATTGCTATAGTACTCAAAACTAGCTTTTGACTGCTATATACCTATGTCATTTCAACTTAGACTTTGAACACTGCTCTTAGAAACATTTCTTTAAACTTCTTCATACGAATAATAACACTATTGACAATCGTCAATAAATAAAACGATATTATTGAATATCGTCAATAACCTGCATTGGTTGACACTTTTATCATTACGATCCTTAGTCGTAAATTATTTTCAAAGTGCATGTAAATAATGTAACCATGCAAATATTTCAATTATCAATTACTGTAGCATAAATGTATACATTATATTCAGCTCATAAACAGTATGTTTAATAAATTGCAATATATTGTAATGCAATTTTGCACTTTGGTCATTACATGCCAACTTTTTGATTACTTAATGTAAACTTGATGGACAGATACTTTAAACCCCTGGTTTATATAACTATATTCAATCCCATTATATATAAAATAGCATAACAAAAATCAAATCAAATATGAAAATAAAATTCATTAAACCTTATATTACTGTTATCATAGCAGCTGATAGCAAGTAACCATTAACCAAAAATAATGCTAGTGCTGCACAAGTTAGTTGCTTTGTATTATAAAGAGAAAGTGTATAAATGCTGCAAAAACAAAAATTAAAAGTAATGTGCGAAATATGGCATTTGCAGATGTTACAGGATAAAATCATATTTGCAATTATTGCTGTGCCTGAGGCCACCTTGTAGAGGGAACTAGATATAATTAGAAATTTGTGGAAGACCAAATAACATGAATTTGGAGGGATATTTTTTTATGTAGGTGGTTCACAGTACAGTGTATTAGCAGTGGTATATATTGTAGCAATTGTAATTTTAAATGTTAAACTGCTGGCGCTAAAATATACATGTAAAGTGCAGAGTAGTAGCCTTTTGAGAGATGTGAGTTGTGTGAGTTTTTGGCAGAGTACTGGCAAGTAAATTATATTTATTGATAATGTAAGCTGCAGTGTGAAAACCCAGGAAGTATCTTGCTCTGTGGTGGAATCTGGTATCTATGAAGGGAAACGTCAAAAGCTTGCTTATTTAAAGAAAATAAGTATATGCAGGTTTAATTAAAGTACGATTACCATCACAGATCCTTACACTCATGAGAACTATAGTTACTTCCAAGGTTAATGTTATGATAAAATGTAAGAATTGCTGCAGTGTCTAAACCAATTATAAATCGCTCACCTTCAGGTAAGAGAAAAAATGAGTGACAGAAGTCACTAGATTCAGCCTTACCTGAAGAGTAGCAAAAATAGTTGATCAGATTACATTTGCTGCCTTCCAAATTGGTCAGTGCCAGCCAAAAGGAAGCTGCAAAAATTAACCGGAAGAACAAAAATTCCTGTTTCTTCATGACCCACTGATAACAGCCAGATGTTACTGGCATTAATTTTCTATTTGTGTTGGACTTGTTTGTCAGTTGTTCATTTGTTTCATTATGTCTTGATGATGTAATATTAATTTTCTTCTGGATATTAGCAGTAAATGTTCGTTTGTTCTTTTCTGATTAATTCACCTTATATATTTGTCATACACTCAAACGTGTCATTTTATTTCATCGAAAAAATACATTACAATATTAAGTAGAAGCCAAACCAGCTGAAATCCAAAATGGGTTATTAAGGAAAGGTGTGTGGTTTGTAGATGTGTATAAATGTGCATTTATCTACATGACAGCTGTAAATTAATTATGTTTAACTTTGAATTCTTTCTAATTCACAGTCTGCCAAATATTTAATACACTATTTTAAAGTGCTATTAATTTTTAAAGTTCAAACTAGTACATTAAATGAGACTTGATTTATTCATTTATGAATAATTTCTGTACTGACTTTACTCTAATTACAAGCTTCATAACAAAATCGTTATGTCCAAAAATAGTTCTTTGACAAAAGTATTGATTACTTAATTAGTATCATTCACTTGTTAGTGTATGTAATTGTTGTCTTGGAGCTAAACCTCTTTAGCTTACTCCGTCATATCTGATGATATTACAATTACTCCTGAATTGCTTAACCTAGTCTCTTTAGCTGTGATATTCCCTTCAGTAAAAGCTTTGTTTAATGAAAGCATAGCTCAATAAAGCTTACGTCATCATACTGTTAACAATCACGATGTGAATTAACACTGCGGGTGTTACTCTGTTATGGTTAGCCGTGTTAATGAGCCTTTGATATTGCATTACAGTTAGCAGCGGCCCCCCACCCCCCAGTTTCTCATACACTAACTTTGCATAATTTACGAGGAAGTGTTACAGCTTAAGGTTAATTAGAGAGTATGGTTGGTTGCATTTACAATGCACGTTAAAGGGTGTTATGACGCCACTTCTACATCACCAACGACGGCAGTTTTGTGTGTTTGGATAATTGTTTCTCTGGTTAATTATCCATTATTGTACCAGTTAATAGAATATCAGCTTATTATGTTTTGTTGTTACTTTATAAATTTAACCAAAATCTTGGTGCCAACCTTGAGTGGATTCAATGATCTCCTGGACTTGCCGTCTTTCCTTAGCTGGAAATGAAGTTATGTGGTTATGGACAACAAATGCCTTTTTCACAAAGTTCACATACTGTACATCATTAGTAGGAAATTGGTTTAAATGGGACAAGTGTCCTCTGAAATTGGTTTTATATATTAGTGCAGCACATATTTTATTTTGTTTATTAATAGTTCTAGATGAGTTTAGCGAGGGATTTCATATGGTATTAAGCCTGAAAAGATGCATTGTTTTTGAGAGATGTAAAATGAATAATTTCTATGAAAATGAATGATCAGTAATTGCTTCTGTAGCCTTGACCATGAATGGTCAAATAACAATCCGCTATGTCTTTTATATATACAAAAAAATAATGCATACGTCAATTTGAAGTGCATTTATTCACTACAAAACTTACCTCATCTGCCTTCCAATTCGATATAAGCCACAAGGTATTTAATTTCTTAGAATTCAATTATTTTTTATTAAAAAAGTCTTAAACCATGAGTTATATAACAAATTACCGTACAAACTAAGCATTCTACATAATGTTTTATTCAGATATAAAAATAAATATTTAAAACTCTACAGTACATGAGAAAAGGAAACCAATATTAATATCACTCAACAATGGTAAGTGCAAAACATGCATCATTATAACACAGACAAATGGACGACTTTGTGCCTTTGTGATGTAATACAATTTTACGCGGACAATCTCCATCATTAGCTCATCAGAAAGGTCACCACATTACAACTACACATGAAGTTCAACAACATAATGCTATAACTACAGCACTCATCAATCTAGAGACTCATCATATGCCATCACGTCAAAGACACATTCTTTAAGCACCAGGGTTGGAGATCACACGTACTCCTGCTCGAGCACATGAAGACTATGACAATATCTCGAGAGTGAAAACATAATATCATTCTAGTTTGGGGGTTTACTCAACAACCTGCACTTGTAAAATGATTATTGGTTGTAACCAATAACCTTGTTTTATGATTTTAGGCTATGAAATTAATCTTGCAAAAATGTAGTGGAAAAACAGGTCAGTGTGCAACATGTATCAATTTTGCTAATGCAGTACATATACTAAGTTCATACAGAATGATGACGAGATAATTTGCATAAGTATTATGCAATAATACTTCTCATTAGGTTTTGGTCTTCATATTTTCTCGAGTTAATATGATAAATCTTAAACTGTACTTAAAAGTGTATTGTTCAAGAAATGGTAGTACTCGATTCATACACTTCTATTACATTCATTTTTGCTTATTACTATGAAGTCTGAAGATTTATCATTAAATGACAGTAACTATTTATAAACTCACATGCATCTGCTATATTTTAAAAAGTTACTGTACAATCATTGTAAAGGACACAAACAATGCTGGATTATGTGACGGGTGGAGTCACTCACTGAACACTAATTACAATACTGTACATATCTTTAGGCACACCACAGATACTCTCACAAGATCATTACCATTTCTTGATGTCAAGCTGCCAGTCATTTTATCTCAATAATACTTTGTATTCCAAAGCAGCAAAAAATGTTCTTGTATATCAAATAAGTGCATTAAAGGGAATTTGTTCATCTATTTCTTTTGTGATTCCGTGCCTATTTAAGAGGTATCTCTTAAATACAGAATCAGAAATATCTCTTATATTTCAAAATAATATCTCTACAGAAATCAGATTCTGTATCTCTTAGAGATACAGACTCTCTAAAAAAAAATATTTCAGCCAATGAGCATCTACATACTTTTAGTGTTGAGAACTACCAAACAAATTTGAAGAAAAAAATGTAGATTTTGTCAGAAAGTTACATCAATAGATTTCAATGAAATGAATGGCAGCCGAGACATACATAGACAAGGACAGACATAAACTAGGGGGTAGATGAGGGATGATGCTGGGGGTTAAGTCGGCTCAGAAGTACATCTGGAGGTTACTGTTAAAAATATAAATGACAATTACTAACTACTCTCACACCACAAAAGAGATACTCAGCTACATCTTTGAGTAATATTATTCTCAGCTACAAATATGTTACAAACACAATACAGGTTTTAAATGCTACACAATAGATAAATTCCATGCTCTCTATTCAGGCAAAATGTTAATTGATTATATTTAAACTAAATTACAATACAGTATTTATATATATATTTATTTAAGGGGTATCTGAGTTTATATTTTCTTTGTTTATTAAGCGGAACAAATATTAGTCACACAAATCAAACAAAATTACAAACTAATTTCCTTTTCTCTAATGAGTGATAAAATATTATTTTGCTGTATTTAAACTTTCCTCTGCAGAAACTTTATTAATCTGTCTACTCTGCTGCATGTTACAAATTTGTGGAATATGCTGCAGTTTAGTTTGCAACATATTACAACGTATTTTGCAATATGTTGCAACTTATTTTGTAGCAGATTCCAACTAATTTTGCAGCATATTACAATATGGTTTTGCTACGAAACATCTCAACATAAACAGAAATGCACCATATTAATACTTTTCCATATACTAAAAACAATGCAGCTTTTATCAAACAAATTTATCCTGAAAAAGATCATAAGCTTAATAGCAATATAACCACTGTTTTTACCTTACCTTTGACTTCAACCTTAGATGTAGTTGCCGACTGGAGGATCTCAACTGAAGATACAGTTGCTACGTCTACCTTGGGAAGTTCTGAAAAATATTGTCTTTCTTAATATCCCATTCTTTTAACAACAACAACAGAGAACCTTTCACAGCTGGAAAAAGTTGAATGTTTTGTAAGGGGGGTTAAAATGTTTAATAATATGTTCAATATTTTTAAATGGTTCACTTTATAGATATTAAAAAAGACTGTCTGTTTCTGGTGTCATATAATAAGTACAGGTATTGTCTGATTTCAGTTTTGAAATAAATAAAATAGACATCACAAGTTTATTAAGGGATATTTATGGAGTTTGCATGTATAAAATTAAGTAAAGGAAGAATATATTTAGACTGTCTACTTTGTCGTCTGAGTAGATGTAGTAATAAATATATTAAGCAGTTAAATAGTTAGAAAATAAACTTTGTATGAACTGGAGAGAAATTCTCTCCTACAAATGTAGTTATGTAGTTAGGGAAAAAAGTGTTAATATACATGCTACTATGTTATAATAAATTATAATGGAAACTAATTTGTAATCTACATTCATTTCAGCATTTATTTGCATCAATTTGCAACGATTAATTTGTATAGCTCATCTGCGCCTTTTTTTCATTCATTCCTAAGGAGCTAATATTGTTCTATGTTTGTAGCTATGGCTGCACACTATAGTTGCTGACTACTGAAGATGCTAATGAAGCTGTAAGCTTGTTATCACCTTGTATGATGTCTCTGACTGAGTCTTCAATCAGAACCTGGCAGATTAATGCAGTGTGTCCCTGCTCTTCGACCATATGAATGAGAGGCATCTGCGCTTCAGGGCGACCCAGATTTGGTAGTTCTCCAGCGTCTATCATAGACAGTATTTCTTGGGATTGAACTCCTTCCTTGAGCATTAGACTAACTTTGGCCATCTCTTTAGATACCGGTGTTTGTGTTTCAGAATCAAATTCCTTGGGGAATTGTTCTGATATTATCTCCTCCACGTTAACATCAGCTTGCTCAAGCATGCGCATGAAGGTCTTAACTCCGATGGTTTTATCAGTCTTCTGGATGGCCTGCTCCACTTGTTCAGTCATAACCTGGTTGACCAATGCTTTAAAACCAAATTCCTCAACAACAGTCAAAAGTTTAGCTTGAGCTTCTTGCTTCATAAGCTCGGGGAAATCGCCAGCTTCCATGAGAGCGATCACATCCTGAGCCATCACCCCATGTTTTACCATCATGCCAATTTTGGCTACTTCTTCCCTCAGTTTGGGCTCCAAGTTGGCCTTCTGGACAACCTCATCAATGTTGACAGTATCCTCTTGAGCCATACGCACATAGGCCTTCACGCCTGGTACCATCTCCGATGCGAATGCTTAATGGGTGGAGGGGGTCACATTAGGCACAAATCAAGGTAAGTGGGGGTGAAGAATGTTACAAATCCTAATTTTTTTTTGGGGTGGTGGGGGGGGGGAAAGCCTATGATATAACCTGAGGGAGATTGTTTGTTTCTAGTTTTGCATTAGAATATATATAAATGTATACTGTATATAAATATATACATTCTGGATACTCAATATCTTAGTAAAATAAAATAAAATTATTTGTGTTTTTGAAATTATTATATAATACTAATTTGAGCCAATGCATATCAAAGTTCTTAATGACGTAATTATACCGAATAATACTTCTATTAATGTAGATCACTAAACTCATCAGTACTATAAGACAAATCAAAGATAAATAACATGTCACTTGCTAATGATCACCAGGCTGGATAATATAATTAGCACAGGACAGTATTAAGGAAACATATTCTTAATGCAAAACTAGTAGTATATTTAAATACAGTATTTTATATCTGGACAAATGTGAATTTATATATCAGACGATGTAAGCAATGCATATTCAAAATGCAATATATATATCTTATATGAACAAGCTGACAGGTCTTCTCTCCTCAGTCAAAAAACTACTGATCGTTTCCAAATATAATCTACAATCAAGGATGAAATCAAAACTTACTCTTTACATCCACTGTTTCAATTTTGGCCTTCTTGAGCATTTCCTTGACCTCGGACATACGAGCAGCTTCTTCTTTAGGCTTTAATTTGTGTATATCCTTCACTGATTCTCCCACTAACACTTCACAAATACTGCCAATGTGACCTTTATCAGCTACCATAGACACAAGAGGCACCTGTGATTCGGGCTTCTTTAAACTAGGCAATAAACCAGATTCAACCAATGAGATAACTTCGCTACATTTTACACCCTCTTGTAGAAGGTGTCCAATTGCAGCGATCTCTTTTACTGGCTCTGAAGATGGCCCAAATTCCTTGGAAACATCCATTATCACTTGTTCCATTGATTCTTTGCCAGTTTCAATCGTACGCATTACCGACTTTAGACCAACATTGCTATCGCATCTGTCTTTAGCCTCCTGTACCAGCACCTTGTGCACCGTGGCATGTTCCAGACGGTCTGCCACTTCGAGTAGTTTGGCCTGGTGTTCTGTGCGCTTAAGAGCGACAAACTCGCCCTCTTTCATCATGGTCAGAAGTTCATTAACTTGCACCCCTTTCTTCAAGTGGAAGCTCAACTTTGCTATATCTTTAGAAAACGTTGTCTTCTCAGTGGGTTTCAGCTCAACAGTCTCAAGGTCTACTTGGTTGTCCGTGGCTAAGCGAATCAAAGCCTTAAAGCCCGGAACACACATTTCTGTAACCATACACCAGACACATAAGTTGCAACATCTTCCGAGTACATGAAAAAACACTCCAAGACTGGGAAAATTACTTGGGATCTCATTGATTACATAGAACTATATTAATTGTTTACACTTGTTTAGTCATCATATTAATGGGTTGGGAAGTTTAACCAGAACAAAAATAAAAGATATATTATTTTAAAGGGGTGGAAGAAATTCATATTCAGCAGCTGAAAAATAAAAATAAAGGAAAGAAATGAAAACTGGCATATTGTATACTCGAAAAAATTGTCAAGGGATATATATATACTGTACTGTATATACTGACTGATGTTGACTTTTGTCAGGGTAAGATGTCATCTTTCATGAGTGGAAATGAATACAAAAAAGTATTTTACATGTCAGGATATAACCGTCGGTGACAGGACCCACCCCAGAATATGTAGGCACTGTACTGGCATGGTATTTCACATAAAAATAACTTCTAAGCTAGTTTCTTTTTCTTTTCTTGAATAAAAAATGCACCTCACTCAACAATAATTAACAGAGATTAAGCTGCAATGTGATAATCTTATATATTGAGGTGATATAATTGATTAGAATGCAATAAATATGATTACTGTATAATTATATTTCATTCCAAATGTTATAGCTATTATATTTCCAGCACATCCAGTCATACAAATTGTAATCACTTCTGTAATTAATTGTAAACCAGCCGATCTCCATACTATTAACAGTAATTTGTGCAGATCTTTATTTAAGTCAAATATTGCCTTGGTTATACTGTGCAGAGTTTAATGCCATTGTCAGCAGTGTCTGAGATGGGCATCAAATGCTCCAAGAGTTACCTGTGTGAACCTGTGTGGCTTCAGCCTTGTGTATGGGTTCAGCCACCTCCTTGATTTCCTCAGCCTGTGAAGGTGTTGGCGTGGGTGCTGTGGATGTGTAACCAATGGCTAAAGTTAAAGAATAAATACACTGGACACATATAATCTCATTATCTAATGGAGTCTCAATGTGATGACTGTTTAAGTAGTAAATTAAATTGGATTGTTGAAAAGTACTGTATTCATAAATTGGTCGAATTTCTGTGTGACATTCCACTAATATTCTGTAGATGCTATTCAAATGAGAGTAGACTACTGTACTTTTTCATTACTAAATATTTTGAGCAATGTGACTTTATTGGCTGCTTTTAGTGTATTATTGTTGAAATCTTCATCTATATTAACTACTCTTTTACTTTTGTATACATATATTAAATTAAAATTTAAACTCCTTAGAACACAATGACCCAGATTCTGAATTTTGCAAGTGCCTTTCCGTGAGGTTAAATAGATTTAGACACGTGTATTTTTTAATTGTTGACATTTTTTATATTATATACATTTGTAATCGACCATCTCTAATAGAATGAAAGCATGCATGTAATTTGCTTGCTCTTTTCATAGCTCCAATATTTATCAACTAATCAGGATTTTATAAGGCACATTATTGAATGACATTTATACTTCAGTGTCTAGCATACATGTTTCAGAATCTTTGCCATTCTGGTTAAAGGACCGACCTAGCTGTAGTGTGTCTGCCTTGTATTCTGGAACAGTTTCTTCTTGAGACGTTTCCGTGAGCAATGTGAGTGGGGCTTCTGAAAATAGTAATGACATGTGAGTGTCTTGGCATGAGCAAGAGTTCTGCAAGTTTATGTGCCCTGAGAAATTCATTTAAATGAGATGTGAGAGAAATATTTTGAAATAATGATAAGATAATTTCTGAAACTTGTTCTAGTGTGGGAAAATGCTGTAAAATAAAACATATGCAGAAATTATTATTTTGAATGAAAACCACTATGGGAGAGGTAAAGGTTTTATATATGAAAACTTGTTAAGGAGATTAACATGTTACTGCATTTAGAATTGTTAGTTCATTACATGTCCTGTATTAAAATGGAATTACTGTATTTTAATGATAATAAACTAATTATTATTTTTTGTATTAATACCGATGGTTAGTTTACTGTTAAGAAATAAGCATAATTTATTTAAAGATAATGGTACTAGTTTTAAACAAAGGGTTTTAATGATGTTTCAAAGTATATTAACCTAAAATCACATTTATGATACTGTGTTGATATTTAGTTTTTTGTAATAGTGACAAAAAATTAAAATATTACAGAAAGTTTAAATTAATACAATCAATATAATTTGTGTTTAAAAGAAATTGTACGTATTTTTATTTAGTAGGAGAATGAAGGATTGTGGTAATTTCCTCACATTTAAAAGATGAGCATAATTAGTCTAATTGGTTAGCTCATATTTACAACAACAATTTTGTAATAATATTACACAGGTTACATATCAAAATGCTATACTGTACCTGTTACTTAAGATTACTTCTGCTATATTTACCTCTTTTCTTTTGCTTATTCATACAGTGGGGAGATGTTAATAATTTAAGGAAATAAAGGGTTTTAAACTGAAATCAAGTCCAATTTTATGTTTTAGTCAAACTTAAGAATTCAAAATAATGTTGATGGGTAAATGCAGTATACACAAGTGTGAACCTAGAATATATTGAAAATTATGTTCATGTACTGAATATCAATGATCTTGTTTACTGTTCAATATAAAACCAACAAACTGCATACTGGCTAAATGATCACAAGAACTTAAATAAAGCTAATGCTTTACGAAACAAATTAGCGAAACGCATAATGCACACGAAGAAGAAACAAATGCTAACATAAATTATTGAAGCATAAAAACTAAGTAACTAACTAAGGAATCTTGACATGTGGACATGCAGAATAGTTGTCAATCATATAGCAAATGAAGCAGGATACCATATTCACTACACTAACATCTAGTACAAAGAAAATCACTAACAAGGTTAAAGAGCCATCAAAATAAACTGGTTAAAAAATATAAAATAAAATTTACTGCCCAAAAAATACTATTAGGCGATAAGCAGAAAGTAACATTACAAAAAAGTAAAGAAATTAAGATAAATTATGAATAAGAAAAGAGCAACAAAAATAGAGAAATTACACATACAAAATTATGAGCCATAAAATAAGGCACGAAAATAACAAAAAATGCCACCATCTGTGTTAGTATTCTGGACGTGACTGTTTTGTAAATAAAGAGTACAATATGCGGGTCTTCAGGCTACGTGCAGTGTTCTTCGAGCTGTGAGATAGATGCATGTATACAACCTTTGGCATACTACAAGTATAATATATGTCAGAGCCTGTTGTTCACTTACGGGTAACAGTAGTCAGTTTCTGCTGTTCAATGGTCTGTTGCTGTGTCTCGGTCTCCGCCTGTGGTGTCATCTGCTTTACGCGTTTTTGTTTCTGTACTGTGACTTGTGACACTTCCTCAACTGCCTGTTGTGTTTGTTGGATGAGCTGAGTCACTTGTTGTGTTTGTTCCGTTTGTTTGGTCACCTGTTCTTGCTGCATAACAGCAGCCTCTCTCTGAACAGTTTGTGTTATTTGTATCTCCTGTTGCTGCAGCACAGCTTGCTGTTGTGTGTGTTGCTCAACAGTCGTCACCTGTTCCTCGGCTGTTTTCTCAACTGATTTAGGTTCTTTTACTACCTTTTTCTTCTTCTTTGTTACCACTTTAGTAACTTGCTCAGGTTCTTCTATAACCTCAGTCTCTTTTGTTACCACCTTAGTAACCTCCTCAGGTTTTTCTATAACCTCAGTTTCCTTTGTTACCACTTTAGTAACTTCCTCAGTCTCCTTTGTTACTACCTTAGTAACTTCCTCAGGTTTTTGTACAACCTCAGCCTCTTTTGTTACCACCTTAGTAACTTCCTCAGGCTTTTCTATAACCTCAGTTTCCTTTGTTACCACTTTAGTAACTTCCTCAGTCTCCTTTGTTACTACCTTAGTAACTTCCTCAGGTTTTTGTACAACCTCAGGCTCCTTTGTTACCACCTTAGTAACTTCCTCAGGCTTTTCTATAACCTCAGTCTCTTTTGTTACCACCTTAGTAACCTCCTCAGGTTCTTGTACAACCTCATCCTCCTTTGTTACCACTTTAGTAACTTCCTCAGTCTCCTTTGTTACTACCTTAGTAACTTCCTCAGGTTTCTGTACAACCTCAGGCTCCTTTGTTACTACCTTAGTAACTTCCTCAGGTTTCTGTACAACCTCAGCCTCCTCGACTGTTTTCTCAATTAATTTAGGTTCTTTTACTACCTTTTTCTTCTTCTTTGTTACCACCTTAGTAACTTCCTCAGCCTCCTTTGTTACCACCTTAGTAACCTCCTCAGGTTTTTGTACAACCTCAGCCTCCTTTGTTTCTACCTTGGTAACCTTCTCAGGTTCTTGTACAATCTCTGTCTTCTTAGTTACCACCTTAGTAGTAACTTCTTCAACGGATTCTGGGAGCTGTGTAACAACAGTCTCTTCATGGATAAAGACTGGTCTTTGAACGAGTGTTGTAGTTTGCAAAACTTCTGGTTCACAAATTTCTTGAGCCTTGTCTGTCTGCACTGTAGTTATGACTTCTTTTATTACTTCAGGTTTCTGTTCTGCTATTATCTCTTGCTGTACGAGGGTGGGCTGTTGGATAACTGTTGTTTTCTGCACGACTTCGGGGATTTCAGATACTTTTGCAATTTCTTGCACAACATGGCTCGTGACCTCAGTTACTTGTTGTGTAACTTGAGGTTCCTGCAAGGTCACTTCCTCTTGTTGTATAACTTGAGGGCGTTGCACAGTGACTTGTTTTATAACTTCCGAATGTTCAGAGGTAACAACCTCTTGCCTGCTTTCCTGAGGCTGCTGGAACACAGTGACTTCCTCTTTATGTTCCACAGTGACCTGAGGCTTTACCTTGGTCACAGTTTTCTTTTTAATCACTTTGCGTTTAGGTTCAATAATTTCTTCCGTGGTAACTGTTTTCGTGACAACTTCTTCTTGTTGGAACGGCTGTGTAATCTGCTGTGTCGTTTCCTGAATAACCTGAGGTGTAATTTGTTGGATAACTTGAATGGGCTGTTCTTGGATAATCTGTGTCGTCTCCTGTGTCACCTGACGTTCTTGATACTCTGGAATAGTTGTAGGTTGAGTATATTCATCAATATGTTGAGTCTGTATTATTTGAGTATATTCTTCTTGGGGCTTCTGCTGCTGTGTTGGTTGTGTCTCACCTAGAATCTGTTCCATTGTTTGTTTAATTTGTTCCATCTGTTCAAGTATAACAACGTCTGCCTGTTCTGTTTGTTTGTCTTCCTGGTCTTTGGGTTCCTGTGGAATCTGAACAGGCTTACTCTTTGGTTTAGTTTTGACCTTACGTGTTGGTTTTGCTGCTGGTTTTGGTGTTTCTTTGGGCTCTGCCGGAGCAGGTGTTGTTGGTTTAGGCTCAACTTCAACTGTTGGTTTGGGTTCTGCTTGTACAGGTGTTGGTTTTGGCTCTTCTGGAACAGGTGTTGGTTTTGGTTCTGCTTGTACAGGTGTTGGTTTTGGCTCTTCTAGAACAGGTGTTGGTTTTTGTTCTGCTTTTACAGGTGTTGGTTTTGGTTCTTCTGGAACAGGTGTTGGTTTTGGTTCTGCTTTTACAGGTGTTGGTTTTGGTTCTTCTGGAACAGGTGTTGGTTTTGGTTCTGCTCGTACAGGTGTTGGTTTTGGCTCTTCTGGAACAGGTGTTGGTTTTGGTTCTGCTTTTACAGGTGTTGGTTTTGGTTCTTCAGGAACAGGTGTTGGTTTTGGTTCTGCTTGTACAGGTGTTGGTTTTGGTTCTTCTTGTACAGGTGTTGGTTTTGGCTCTTCTGGAACTGGTGTTGGTTTTGGTTCTACTGGAGCAGGTGTTGGTTTGGTTTCTGCTGGAGCAGGTGATGGTTTTAGTTCTAATGGAACAGGTGTTGGTTTTGGTTCTGCTGGAGCAGGTGTTGGTTTTTGCTCTACATGAACAGGTGTTGGTTTTGGTTCTACTGGAGTTGGTGTTGGTTTTGGTTCCTTTGGAACAGGTGTTGGTTTTGGTTCTACAGGAACAGGTGTTGGTTTTGGTTCTGCTGGAACAGGTGTTGGTTTTGGTTCTGCTGGAACAGGTGTTGGTTTTGGCTCTTCTGGAACAGGTGTTGGTTTTGGTTCTACTGGCACAGGTGTTGGTTGTAGTGGAACAGGTGTTGGTTTTGGTTCAACTGGAACAGGTGTTGGTTTTTGTTCTTCTGAAATAGGTGTTGGTTTGGGTTCTAGTGGAACAGGTGTTGGTTTTGTTTCTTCTGGAACAGGTGTTGGTTCTAGTGGAACAGGTGTTGGTTCTAGTGGAACAGGTATTGGTTTTTGTTCTTCTGGAACATGTGTTGGTTTGGGTTCAACTGGAACAGGTGTTGGTTCTAGTGGAACTGGTGTTGGTTTGTGTTCTTCTGGAACAGGTGTTGGTTTGGGTTCTAGTGGAATAGGTATTGGTTCTAGTGGAACAGGTGTTGGTTCTAGTGGAACAGGTGTTGGTTTTGGTTCTTCTGGAACAGGTGTTGGTTCTAGTGGAACAGGTGTTGGTTTTTGTTCTTCTGGAACAGGTGTTGGTTTTGGTTCTTCTGGAACAGGTGTTGGTTCTAGTGGAACAGGTGTTGGTTTTTGTTCTTCTGGAACAGGTGTTGGTTCTAGTGGAACAGGTGTTGGTTTTTGTTCTTCTGGAACAGGTGTCGGCTTTGGTTCTGCTGCGGCAGGTGTTGGTTTTGGTTCTACTGGAGCTGGGGTTGGTTTAGCTAATTCTGGAACAGGTGTTGGTTTTGGCTCTGTTGGAACAAGTGCGGGTTTTGATTCAGATGGTTTAGCAGATGCTGGTTTGTGTTCAACTGGAACAGGGGTTGGTTTATGTTTCAGTTCTATTGGAACAGGTGTTGGTTTTGGTTCAGGTAGAGCAGGTGTTGGTTTTGGTTCTGGTTGAGCAGGTGTTGGTTTTGGCTCTACTGAAACGGGTGTTGGTTTTGGTTCTGCTGGAACAGGTGTTGATTTTGTTTCTGCTTGGGGAGTTATTGGCTTAGGTTTCGTTAGAGCAGGTGTTGGTTTAGGTTCTGCTGGAGCAGGTGTTGGTTTAGGTTTTGCTCGAACATGTGTTGGTTTAGGTTCTGCTGGAACAGGTGTTGGTTTAGGTTCTGCTGGAGCAGGTGTTGGTTTAGGTTCTGCTGGAGCAGGTGTTGGTTTAGGTTCTGCTGGAACAGGAGTTGGTTTAGGTTCTGCTGGAGCAGGTGTTGGTTTAGGTTCTGCTGGAACAGGTGTTGGTTTAGGTTCTGCTGGAGCAGGTGTTGGTTTAGGTTCCGCTGGAGCAGGTGTTGGTTTAGGTTCTGCTGGAGCAGGTGTTGGTTTGGGTTCCGCTGGAGCAGGTGTTGGTTTAGCTGCAACTGGTTTAAATTCTGCTGGAATTTGCTTAGTCTCTTCTGGCATACTTGGACCGCCTAAGTTAGATTCTACTGGAGCAGGTGTTGGTTTAGTTTCTGCTGGAGCAGGTGTTGGTTTAGTTTCTGCTGGAGCAGGTGTTGGTTTAGTTTCTGCTGGAGCAGGTGTTGGTTTAGTTTCTGCTGGAGCAGGTGTTGGTTTAGATTCTGCTGGAGCAGGTGTTGGTTTTGCTTGATCTTGTTCAGGTGTCGGTTTTGCCTCTGTTGGAGCAGGTTTTAGTTTAAATTCAGTAGGCACAGGTGTTGATTTAGGGTGTACAGATGCTGGCTTTCGTTTAAGTTTAATAGTGGATGGTGTTTCAGCAGGAGCAGGTGTTGGCTTTATTTCTGCTGGTCTAAGTGTTGCCTCTATATCTGCTGGCACAGGTGTTGGTTTTATTTCAGCTTTTGGTTTTGGCTCAGTTTTTGTTAGTTCAGGTATTAGTGTTGTCTTTGCTGGCTCCAGCACTGTCTGTATTTCTGCCAGGGTTGGTGGTGTAGGTTTGGTTTCTGCTGATGGAGGTGTTTTGATTATTGATTCTGCTAGTGTTGCTTTTATTTCAGCAGGTACAGGTGTTGGTTTTACTTCTGCTTGTGCAGATGTTGGTTTTGTTTGTGCAGGTGATGGTGTTGGCTCTGTCTTTGGTGATGCAGGTGTTGGCTCTGTCTCTGGTGATGCAGGTGTTGGCTTTATCTCTGTTAGTGCAGGTGTTGGTCTTATCTCTCCTGGTGAAAGTGTTGCCTGTATCTCTGCTGGTGCAGGTGTTGTTTTTGTTTCTGCAAGAGGAGCTGTTGGTTTTAATGGTGTTGATGAAGGCATTGGTTTTGTTTCTACTGGCGCAGGTGTTGGCGTTACTTCTGTTAATACAGGTGTTGACTTTGTTTCGGAAGGTGTAGGTTTTTGTATTATTTCTGCTGGTTCAAGAACTGGTATTATTTCTGTTGTTACAGGTGTTGGCTCTGTTTCTGCTCTTGCAGGTGTTGGTGTTTTTTCTACTGGTGCAGGTGTTGATTTTCTCTCTGTTGGTTTAATAACCGGTATTACTTCTGCTGGTGCAGGTTTTGTTTCTGCTGGTGCAGGTGTTACTTTTGTTTCTTCTGGGGCAAGTGTTACTTTTGTTTCTGCAGGGGCAGGTGCTGCTTTTGTTTCTGCTGGTGCAGGTGTTGGTTTGGTTTCTGCTGGTGCAGGTGTTACTTTTGTTTCTTCTGGGGCAAGTGTTACTTTTGTTTCTGCTGGTGCAGGTGTTGCTTTTGTTTCTGCTGGTGCAGGTGTTGGTTTGGTTTCTGCTGGTGCAGGTGTTACTTTTGTTTCTTCTGGGGCAAGTGTTACTTTTGTTTCTGCTGGTGCAGGTGTTGCTTTTGTTTCTGCTGGTGCAGGTGTTGGTTTGGTTTCTGCTGGTGCGGGTGTTGGTTTGGTTTCTGCTGGTGAAGGTGTTGGTTTGGCCTCTGTTGGTTCTGGTTTTGCTTTTGTTTCTGCTGGTGCAGGTGTTACTTTGGTTTCTGCTGGTGCAGGTGTTACTTTGGTTTCTGCTGGTGCAGGTGTTACTTTTGTTTCTGCTGGTGCAGGTGTTGCTTTTGTTTCTGCTGGTGCAGGTGTTGGTGTGGTTTCTGCTGGTGCAGGTGTTGCTTTTGTTTCTGCTGGTGCAGGTGTTGCTTTTGTTTCTGCAGGGACAGGTGTTGACTTTATCTCTGTTGGTATAATCACAGGTATTACTTCTGCTGGTACAGGTGTTGGTTTGGTTTCTGTTAGTTTTTGTGTTGTTCTTGTTTCTGCTGGTGCAGGTGTTGCTTTTGTTTCTGCTGGTGCAGGTGTTGCTTTTGTTTCTGCTGGTGCAGGTGTTACTTTTGTTTCTGCTGGTGCAGGTGTTGGTTTGGTTTCTGCTGGTGCAGGTGTTACTTTTGTTTCTGCTGGTGCAGGTGTTACTTTTGTTTCTGCTGTTGCAGGTGTTGGTTTGGTTTCTGCTGGTGCAGGTGTTTGTTTGGTTTCTGTTGGTTCTGGTGTTGCTTTTGTTTCTGCTGGTGCAGGTGTTACTTTTGTTTCTGCTGGTGCAGGTGTTGCTTTTGTTTCTGCTGGTGCAGGTGTTGCTTTTGTTTCTGCTGGTGCAGGTGTTACTTTTGTTTCTTCTGGTGCAGGTGTTGCTTTTGTTCCTGCTGTTGCAGGTGTTACTTTTGTTTCTTCTGGGACAAGTGTTACTTTTGTTTCTACAGGGGCAAGTATTGCTATTGTTTCTGCTGGTGCAGGTGTTGGTTTGGTTTCTACAGGGGCAGGTATTGCTATTGTTTCTGCTGGTGCAGGTGTTGGTTTGGTTTCTGCTGGTGTAGGTGTTACTTTTGTTTCTGCAGGGGCAGAAGTTGTTCTTGTTTCTGCAAATGCAGGTGTTGGTTTGGTTTCTGCTGGTGCAGGTGTTGACTTTCTCTCTGTTGGTATAATCACAGGTATTATTTCTGCTGGTGTAGGTGTTGGTTTGGTTTCTGTTGGTTCTAGTGTTGCTTTTGTTTCTGCTGGTGCAGGTGTTGGTTTTGTTTCTGTTGGTGCAGGTGTTGGTTTAGTTTCTGCTGGCGCAGGTGTTGTTCTTGTTTCTGCTGGTGCAGGTGTTACTTTTGTTTCTGCTGGTGCAGGTGTTGGTTTGGTTTCTGTTGGTTCTAGTGTTGCCTTTGTTCCGGCTGGTGCAGGTGTTGTTCGTGTTTCTGCTGGTGCAGGTGTTGCTTTTGCTCCTGCAGGAGCAGGTGTTGGTTTTGTTTCTGCTGGTGCAGGTGTTGCTTTTGTTTCTGCTGGAACAGGTGTTGGCTTGGTTTCTGCTGGTGCAGGTGTTGGTTTGGTTTCTGCTGGTGCAGGTGGTGGTTCGGTTTCTGCTGGTGCAGGAGTTGCTTTTGTTTCTGCTGGTGCAGGTGTTGCTTTTGTTTCTGCAGGTGCAGGTGTTGCTTTTGTTTCTGCAGGTGCAGGTGTTGCTTTTGTTTCTGCTGGTGCAGGTGTTGGTTTGGTTTCTGCTGGTACAGGTGTTGGTTTTGTTTCTGCTGGTGCAGGTGTTGGTTTGGTTTCTGCTGGTGCAGGTGTTGCTTTTGTTTCTGCTGGAACAGGTGTTGGTCTTGTTTCTGCTGGTGCAGGTGTTGGTTTTGTTTCTGCTGGTGCAGGTGCTGCTTTTGTTTCTGCTGGAACAGGTGTTGGTTTTGTTTCTGCTGGTGCAGGTGTTGGTTTTGTTTCTGCTGGTGCAGGTGTTGCTTTTGTTTCTACTGGTGCAGGTGTTGGTTTGGTTTCTGTTGGTTCTGGTGTTACTTTTGTTTCTGCTGGTGCAGGTGTTGTTCTTGTTTCTGTTGGTGCAGGTGTTGCTTTTGTTTCTGCTGGTGCAGGTGTTGCTTTTGTTTCTGCTGGTGCAGGTGTTGCTTTTGTTTCTGCTGGTGCAGGTGTTGCTTTTGATTCTACTGGTGCAGGTGTTGGTTTGGTT